CCCTCGTCCCTGAGATGTTCCCTGTTTGTAACAAAAATATCACTGCAGAAATAAAAAATAGAATTTCTTGCCTTTGTCATCATCACTGTCCCTCTCCTCTCTTGAGTGCTTCTTTCGCTTCCTCTTTTCCTTGGGCTCGCTATCGCTGTCAGACTCCTTCTAAAACAATGTTTTTCGTTTCTGGCTAATCTTTTGGGCAGCGTTCAGACTTGGCGATGACGCGCGCAGACGTGCTACGACGAGCTGCCATTGCAGTGACGCTCCAAGAAAGCTATGGATCGGTGCCGGACGTTTTGAGCGGGTAGAGGATGGTAGGAGTTCAGGTGTTGCCTAATCACACAGTCTGGTAACCTCCCCACGCTTGTCTACTTCCTCAAAACACTATCCAAAGGCGCCGTCCGACACAATACTGCGCAATTATGCTGCTTCCGGTTCCATAGCACTGAAACACGAATGCAAGGGTAGCGCGTGAAAGCGCGTCATCACGAAGTCTGAACTGCCTAAGCACGTTAAACTTACGTCGCTTCTTCGTCCCTTCTTCTTTTTATCCTTCTTCCTCTTCTTAGAAACGGAATGATGTGAACACGATTCGCTCAGAGAACGTTTGTATTCTTCAAAGTACTTCGTCCGCAGTTCTTCAGAATCAATCTAAAATTACAGCAGATTATAATTATAGTTCCCAATGGTACCTATTTAGGAACTTATTAACACTACTTGCTTCTAGAAAAAAAATAGTCTCACCACCAAAAACGCCTTTTCCTTTTCGATTTTTGTACGAACAGTTGCCCACTCTGAGTTTGCATCTATTGCCGGCTGCTGTGCCCGTAGAAGATGACGGAACTCGCTCTCTTGACGGCGCTTCTTTCGCGCCTCTTCACGTTCTGCCTCGCGTTCCTTTTGACTCAGCCTGCAGGTCGGTCTTGGTTGAGACTCAACAGATGCCAAAAACGGGGACTCATACCTTTTCAACGAAGTGAATTATAACAGAGCTTCATATTTCCATGATCTACAGCAGCACCCTTTTCTGATGACGTTACCCACTTAGAAAACTCTTCAAATGTTGTGTCAACCTGAAGCAAATTGAATGTTGCAAAGAGAACCTTAGGCTGCGTTCATACTTCGCGTCAGCGTTTCGAGCGTACGGCAGCGCTTTGAGCGACTAGGAAAAAATACACTGCGAAACATAATCATAGTTCTCCCGTGAATCTCACAAAATCCTGTCTTACACGAAGTTTTCCAAAATGCCCCCATACAAAAAATGTGGTAATTTAGCAGAAGCCAATTCGCTATGGGCCAACAACAAAACACCAGCTTGAAAAAAGCAAAAGTATAATTCACGCGAAACAATCGGAATATTCCAACTATGAAATAAATTTTGATCCAGTAATCTATTGGAACTCTATTTCTCCAATTAAGTTGGAAAATACGGTTGCCCATGTTCGATTAGAGATTTTAATAGGCTGTCGGCCGACTGCCCCAATGATTAACTCCTAAGCTCACGGAAATTGTGGAATTGTGTATTACCCTCA